CCTTAGGGCCCTCAGAGTTCACTGCCTTGGGATTGGGGCTGTAGGATGGCTGGGGATATCTCCAACGCCCTACAAAATCCGATGAACCCTTCAAACCTAAATCCTTACATCCTGAGACGCTGGAACCATAGAATCTGCGACCTTCCACCCTTCCATTGTAGATTCCCAAACCCTACAAAGAATACCTTGAACCCCAGAAATCTAAACCCACAATTTCAATATCCTGCCAGTGGGAAGCATGGAAGGCGAGTAGTGCGATGTCGGGTGAGAGACGCAGATATGGGGCTGCAGGCTTTCAACCTTGAAGTCAAGGTTTCTAGTCGTTTTTTAGGGTTTAGGGTTTAGCGGATGCGTGTCAGTATTTAAAACTGCTAGTGCCGTTTGAATTCATGATTATTGTCGGTTGCATGTCCTTTTGGCTTTGCCGTTCTTCGGTGTTCAGCATGCAGCCACTGGCTTGTTGTGAGCATACAGCGCTTTGTGGATTTTGTGGGGTCAGGGTTTAGAGTTTATCGCATAAAGGGTTGCACTGTTTCAATAATGTAGAAGCTTGAATAGTCCTTCTTATAACTGTACATTAAAACATATATCACTATTGTCTTGAGGCCCCGGTGTTATTCAGAGTAGATTTTTGTGGTTGATACTGATCTGAAAAGCCCTAACCCAGAAAGGAACATCAGCAGAAGCGTCTTGTCCCAATGGGAAATATATTCAAAGGCATGTACATGGGATATCCCCGTCCTAATTCAAGGAGCCCTAAAATTCGATATGGTTCGGAGAATAAAGAACCCAAGTATGGGATAAGTGTCCCCATGGGGAAGAGTCAAACAAGTACCCATGAACCGGCGGACCTGGTACCTCAAGCCAGAAACCAGAAGCCCTAAACCCGAAACAAAAACGCCAACGCTGAAGCCCTAAACTAAGCCCCAAGCCTCAACTCTGAACCTGCAGCCCAGAAGCCCTAAACCCTACGCCACCAAGCGATAAGACTTGAACCTATAAAGTAAGACTCTAACACTGAACCACAAGACTCATGGCCCAACAGGGAAGAACAGCAAGCCTGGCTATCCAAATGACCCCTAAGCCGAGACTTTTCCTTTAACCTAGCAGCTTGAATACTTACCAACACTAATTCAACACTATTCCTGTGGGTTCCTTCGGATAGCTTTTCGATAATATATCGTTTCGATCCCTGTACCAAGCTCTTGCGCGAGTGCAGAACTGAATCCTTCGATCTTCCGCAAAGAGCTGCAGGCCAAAAGAGCTTCGGAAGCTTGCGTGGCTTGGCCGAAGGGTTTATGGTTTAGGGTTTTATAGGGTTTTAGGGTTTAGGGTTTCAAGTGTCGATATATGAAGGTGGGCAAAGATGTGAATCCTCTCCACTGGTCGGCAATGTTTACAACGATGGTTCTTCCACTCGCTCTTGCCTTCAGCTTCCTTCAAACACGTCCGTTGAACAAACAGGTGGTGGTGTGGCGTCTCTACAGGTCTTAAAGGAAGCGAATGCCAACGCTAGGAGAACACAGAAGGCCCTGAGGAGGCAGACACGCTTGAGCAGGTTGCAGCGCGCAGCTCATGAATGATCCCGCTGGGCAGCAATACACAGCTGTGTAATTAGACATGTTTGCCTTTGCCGCCTTTGCCTCTCTTGAAAAGCTAGAGAGAGATTGATGGAATTCAATTGCTGGAAGCACTTCAGAGAGACCTCGTTCGAAAAGGGTACTGTTTCGTCTTGCTGGTTATGGCCGAGGCGGCCGAGGCTGTAGCCATTGCTGTAGATTTCACTAGTTCTCATGCTTCCGGTGCTATTTCGGCTGGTCTGGTGCATATTGCTATCATGTCGGGCTGCTTGTGTGTTTTCCTGTTACAACTTTCAGTGTGTTCCTTCTCGGAAGTACTTCCAACAAGGACATTGTGCCCATCTTCAGAGCTGTGCTTGTACGGTTTTCCCAAAGCTACCACGGTCCCTTCAAACACGCCCTTGGTGCCGGGTACTGGTTGAAGCAGGTATTGGCTGTAGGGGTGTACGATTTCTTTCGGACGTAGGGCGCATAAGATAGTCCAAAGCACGCGGGGCAGTTGCCCAGGAGATGGCTAACGGTGTCCTTCAGATGCTGCCCTCTTCCATCACCGACGGCGTCCGGAGGCGGACTCGCGGTATCCTCGGAAGTTTTGGGGTGCCCGATAGCAAAAGCCTTCAGGCGAACGATCGGGCTAGGACCGCTAGGATTCAGGGATGTTCAGGGTATACCTTTTGATGGGCCCTCTGACTATGAACTAGATATGCGTTCTTGGTACTGTGGGGATATGTGTAGGGTGCCAAAGAGGAGGTTTACGGGCTGGAGCCAACGACACTTAGAATTTCAGCAGGATCCGAAACCCTACCTGTTGAACATTAAAGCCTTAGTTTGAAAAATACTCCTAGTGGGTTCTGCTACAGTGCACCCAGCCAGCACTCCTTGCACCCTGAGCCGGGGTCTCGAAACCCCAACCGCTGAAGCATGTCTCGGCCTGTTCCGCTTCGTGGTCCAAACAACGTTCGAATTTTGTGGTCTGCAGACAACGCTGTAGTGTTTCTAACATCGGTGCTGTCGAAAGCAGTCATTCAACAAACCCCAACGTCTGCTCTCTTGCGACAGGAAGTTTAAGAAGTCCGAAGCCCGAACATGAATTTAATGTACATACAAGCATGTGTGAATGTGTATGCGCATGTATACATACTACGCCGGGCCCACTAGCTTGAACATGCTGCAATACTCAGCACCCGCGCCCCACCCTTTTGCACATAGACTCCTCACACATATGAGCTCTGGGGCCTCCCCCGGAACCAAAAAATATTTTCTGTTGAAAACGGAGTAGAAATTACTTTGCGAGCATGCGTAGGGTAAGCGACACTTTGAGGTACCCCGCTACTCTGCAAGAGCGGCCCTTGACCTAGAAACTAGACAGTTTCTGAGCAAAAACACTTAACATCTACAGCAACATGTAGAGCATGAGCGGTCCGCGGTACAGATGTTTCAGTCTGAAAGGCCTTTCCGTGAGCAGCATGAATTTTGGGATCGGTAGTCCAGCACAATTCGCAGTTCCTGAGACGGTGCCCCAAGCTTCCATAAACGGTGGCAAAAATCCAAGCATATGCGTTTCACGAAACCTGCAACCGGACTGGACGAGGCCGCCAAAGTGCAGGCTATATCTATATATATATATATATGTATATACATATACATACATATATATATATATATGTACACATATATAGGTGTGTATACATGCAGCCCCGTAACCCTGAAATCACAGAACCCTCCTAAACTTTTGGTCAGTACTCAACCCTCAGCTGATTACGCCCCATCCCTCCCGTGACCCGTATCCTTAAACCCTGCCGTGCACGAATCAAGCCTCGCTCAACCGCAAGCTGACCGCAAGTCCTCAGAGGCGTAAAGCCCCACGCCGGAAGCCTTTCGCCCTCGTCTCGAGATCCTGATGTCGAAACCGGCCTTTTGCGGATCAGCTAAGTCAAAGTTACCAATTTCGGTGCAGGGTAGATCATCAGTACATTATCTGCTAGCATGATAGCTTCGACTTAAGTTGCTTTCCTTGACAAGAGCCCAATCCACGTGTCGTTGCCAGGTTCGAGTTGTCCGTACTCTTCAATGCGCAAGGCCTGCCGGAGGCGCATCGAGGTTTGTTCAGTTTGGCAAGCCTCTTGATTTGTTTGGTTCCTTTCCGGATGTTGTAAGCGTTCGATAGGGGTCCTTTGCAACGGACTCCAAGATTCAGGTTTGCGGGCTTTCCACCACAATCCTGACTCCTTGTATATCAATTGAAACGCCGTACGAACCTTGGCGCGATATTGCAAGACGACAGAGCCCCGGCTTGTGACAGAAGAACTCGCACGGTCTACGGTTCTGCCTCCAGGGTTCAGAAAGTTTAGTCGCTTTCTCACACCATCCGACTTTGGAAGCCGTGCCTGCTTCGAGCGAGCGTGCGAGTCGAAACCTTTCGTGGAGGTCTGTGTAGTTGCCCGGCGATCGGATCCAGATGCTTCGCCAGGCCAAAGGGGATAGGGGCGCGTGTTGAGGACCTGGCTTCGAGTTTAGGGTTGGCAACGCACGAGCATAAACCCTAAACCTGGGGTTCAGGGTTTCGGGTTTCCAAGCCACGAATCTTAAACCCTGGGGGGAAGAGAATACCTCAGCCACTCACAAACAAGACATTCGGAGACTGCCGAAGATCCCTCGAAGCTGCTATTGTCTTGGCGTCTCGGCAGCAAGCAGAACATGCGCAGTGAAAGGGTCCGTAGTATCGAACGGTCGTAATAAACATCGTATGGCCTCTAGAATCGTAGAAGGCACTTAGCAGCTTAGCGCCATGATAACCGATTGGCCGGCTACCAGGACGTAGTTGTCAAGCCAGTTCGCACCTTGCACAAGCTTACTTCCAGGTTTCATCAGCATAGACCGTTCAGATCTCGATGGGGAGGGCTCTGGCTATCAGATGCGTAAGAGGGCCGAACACATTGTCAAGCCCTCAGCCAAGTTTTTTAGACCCCAACAAACAGAAAGAATAAATCTCAAACCCCCAAAGCCCCGAAAGCTGAAGCTCTATAGCCCAAGTCTCGAGCACTCTCGAAGCCCAAATCCTAAGACAACCGACCACCGGAACCTCTACCCTCAGCCCTAAGTCAGCTGGGCGGGTGGGAAAAAAAAGCCGAAATCTCCAAACTAGAATGCCTAACCGTTTGGGAAGGAGATCCTCCCCCTGCGAGCTTGGCCGGAATCTGGGAGGCTGCGTCACTTTAGCCGACAGCTTCGTTTGCGGTGGGTTCAGGGTTTACGGGGGATTGAGCAACAGGGTTTTGGGGGGCTGAGGACAGTGAGGGTGTGACGCTTTCGTGATGATTTGGCCTTCAGGCCAAAAAGCCGATGCCACGGCCGTTGGTTGTTCAAGCGGCCCACGGTGAGTCTGTCAGCTAAGGGCGCCCCATCCTCACGCAGAGCGCCATGAGCCAGCTCAGGACAGCCGTCGCACTCGTCGCGGCTGCATGCCTGGCCAGCATTGCGTGCGAGGCCTTCGTGTCGCCGTCGGCGCGCCCTGCGCCGCTCGGTGCGGCACCCAAGGCCGCAGCTGCGGCCGGGGCGGCGCCGTCCATGGCTGCCGGCTGGGGACTCGCAGCAGCTGGCCTGGCTGTCGGAGCCCACGCCGGACTCGCAGTGGCTTTCCGTGCCCGTGCTGCATGCAAGGCCGAGACGAAGCCGGCGGAGAAGAAATACGTAGAGACGGTCGCGGATCAGCGTCTCTTCGAGCAGGTCTACTTGCAGTACACGTCGGAGTACTTGAAGGGCCCTCTCTACTGGCACCCGGCCCGGACAATCACTAGTAAGCCTGGTCCTGTTCCTGAGGGTTCCAGATAATATAATATACTAATTACCCTTCTTGATTAGACTTTTTCCCCCCTCAAAGCCGCATTCTGACGACCATGGCGCCTGTTTTGACCCTTAGAGCAAGGCACCCGGACAAGCTGCAGGGATGGCTTCCCGACTACCCGGGCACTCCCATGATCAAGGAGGGCAAGTACACGAGCCATGTGATTGGAAACCTCAAGGCTTTCAGCTCCAACGAGCTTCTATGGTGACAGTTTTGGGAAGCTTGATTTTTTTCCCGTGCGGTGCTTGCTTGCTCTTCAGGTAGCTGTTCATTAACACTTTTGGGACACCCAAAAGTAGAATCCAGGCTTGCATTCCTCTCCATGCTCTTCTTCGGCGTCGGCCTCTATGGCAACCTGCAGTTCAACTTCTATGACCCGCAGTGGGCCAAGGTGGATGCTGGTGGCTTCTTCAATGTGTCGTACATTGTGGAGTCCTTCTTGCTTCCCATTTCCTTCTTCATGCATATCGCCTGCTATATCCAACGCCAGAACGGGAAGTGATGACATGGTGTGCCGTGTGTTGTTGAATTTTGAGAGGGTCGTCAACGTCTGGCCCCTCGTTGTTCCCAAGGCACGTAAGACGTGCTGGGTGAGTGGGAGTATTGACAGCTGCTCCTAGACTCGCCATACTGGGACGCGAAAGAGCATTTAAACAGGCGAGGCAGCAACTCATAAACTTTGCTTCCTTAAGAACCATGCAACCCATTTCAGTGAAGATGGTCTCTCAAATATTCACAATGTCACGAGATGATGGTAGTGCTCATTTCAATACTTGAAAGGAATCTCCGGCCAAAGAAAGGTTGAGCTCAGGAACCCCTAAGCACATGCAAGCGACACGGTTTGCATGATCCAACCTGCAGGCATCTCGGGAGCCTGGAGGAGTTAAGGAGCCAACTTCAGAGCGACCACAGTCATGACGAGGAATTTATATCTTGCGTCCCAGCTTAAGCTAAGTTCCGCTGATACGACGGTCATGGTTGCAATATGTTGCATAGGTGATCGTGGCAGTAGTTTTTTGTTTCTGCCGTGTCTGCTACCTCTGCCATTGATTTATTCCTGTTGTTTTTGTCAACCCTCGTGTGGTCTTCTTTGCCCTCGTCAGTCGTAGCACTCGTAAATGCTGCACCGCAACACAATACTTTCGAAATGCAGAGAGTGATCATAACACGCGAATTAACAGTGAGTGCCATTCCAGTGGCACTAGTACATAGCTGAAAGCAACAACGAGCAACCATGATTGCTTCGACAGCACTAAATCTTGAGACGCTACTAACGCCGGAAACGGCAAACACGCCTGCCCCCAAACCCCAGAAGCAAGCAATACGACGAAGAGCAAGTTGCTGGCTCGGGTCGCTGGCCTCATTGTAAGATTCTTCCAAATGGAATGCCGTAGGCTTCGTACTGGGTCGCAAGTGTTCACACCGACATAAAGTGTCAAGGCAGGAGCAACAACAGTAACATCCTCAAGATCATGAACCCCGCCCCACCCCAAACGGACTTGTAATAGTAAGAGCCCCCCAGAAAACCTTGCAGCTGAAACCTTCAAAGACCTAGCAGCTGAACCTTCTAAGTTCTATCCCATGAGGGATTTGGATTGAACCCCAACCCGAAATCCCTTGAAGGTTTGGCCCCAAACCGTAGTTTCAAGCTGCAAACCCTAAACTCTAAACCTGATGGCTTTGAACTTTAAGATGACCCATCCCGTTCTCCCATCTGCTTGCTCCTCTGGGAGGTAGAGCACTTCTGGAAGGACCTTGCTTGGGGGCTGATTTTTTCGACAGCTGTTGACCCAGTGCCTGGAAGCCGCCATTGGGGCTGGGGGCGAGTTGGTTTAGACCTGAGCGCTTCAAAGGCGCTAAGGGGCCAAAGCCCAAGCCCTGAAAGCTGTAGATAGCCCGAAAGCCTAATGGAAAGCCGTGAGGACCGCCTGCCGGCGATCTTCGATTCCTTAACGACGCTGCAAAAGCATTTTACTGGAGGCAGTGTTTCTGGGTGGGATCTTCGACTTTGAGCCCAGAGTTTGAGGCAGCAAAACAGGGTTAAAGGCTGTAGGAGTTTAGGGCTTGAGCTAAGCTGGAGACCCCAACCAGGCATTTCAATCTTTGAGGTTTCCCCGTGACCATCGTGTGATTCAAGCTTTGTCCTTTTTTGACCGCGATTGAAGAGATTGTGTTGACTTGTAATTTCCTTGTTGTTCATCACTTCCGGCCATTGCTTTCGCCATGATGATGATGGTGGCGGCGGTGTCGCAGTCCTCGGGGTTGCAGTGGACATGGCTCTGGCTGGCGTGGTGGTCGTGATCGCGATGGGTTTCGTAGCCATCTTCATGAAACAAGTTTGGCACCGCTGACGCATTCATCGTGCCACCCTGCGCTTAGAGCATGGTTGTTGTCCGTGTTTTTGCGTATATTTCCGTAGATCCTGTACTTACAGCGTGAAAGTAACTGCAAAACTTCAGCAATACCAGCCTGAAGAGCATAACAACTGTTGTTGTTACTGGTCTTGCTGCTGTCATTGCAGTCGCGCAGCCACGTCCGTAGGTAAGGCTACAGTCGAGGAGGTAGTCCCTATCGAAACGCGAAGACCCCTCAGAACTTAAGCTGCGCGTGGGAGGAAAGCAACACAAGACATCAATCGGGCTCCAAAACTCAAACTCCGACGTCGAAGTCACCAGGTTTTTGAGTTTAGGGCTTCGGGTTCGGTCAGGTTTACGGCTTCTCTTCATGGCCACCGGCTGAGCGGCTCACGGTACAAAAGCCCCAACCCAGAGGCCCTTAAGTGTTCAGTGCTTCAAGCTGTGAAGTGTTGGAGCTTTTGCAGGGGCAGATGCCGAGGATACGAGTGAGACCACTCTCGAGGCGGACGGAGTTGGATGGCTGCCGAGTAACGCGGAGGTGTGGATAAGCCGAATGTAGAAGCACTATATTTGCTTATATACATATATATATATTTCTTTTTATTTACGGACTGTATCTAGCGATGCACGGAAAACGGCTGAGAGTAGCTATCTACTTTTCGATTGCCGGCTTCGGGTTGTTGAGCTTTGTGTTTTGTATTTCAGGGTTCTGTGGAGCGGTTGTGCTTGTTCGAGCAGAATTTCTGCCTTGTTTGTCATTTGCTCTGGAGCTTTGCAATTCAAGTCAGACCCTAAACCATCCTAAGCCCGCTTGACCTTGTTGGTTGTTGCGCTTATGGCTCCCAGGAGCAGATCTAGTACTAGGTGGTTGAGCAGTACTCTTTGGCCGACCTAGGTCTAGGGTTTCCGTATTGAAGCTGAATAATGGAAGTAAGTGGACAATGCTAGTGAGAAACGAAGAGTAAGCCTTTTCTGCGCCTGCAGGACCTCAGCGGCGGTGAGTCGCTGTGGGAGTCTCGAGCCATCAACTCAGCTTACATTCGGCCGTCGGGTTCCAGTGAATCAAGAAGTCGCTGGAACGTCTTGCAGGTTTGTTGAAGCGGCCGATGATGAGCATCATGATGATTTACCACGACCGCGCTGCGACGAACTACTGCCGTACAGTACTGGCTATGTCAGACTGATGTTGCAGTTGCGTGTGTATGGTCAAGTATAGTCAGATTTGGCGCATCCCCCGAGCCAGCTGTAGCTACAGAAAACACAAACAGTGGAGTCTGCCTCAAGGTCTGGAGCGACATCAGCGTTGCCGACTTCAGGCACAAGGGTTTGGACTTTCGGGACGTGGGCGTGTTGCGGCCCCGGCATTGAGAATTGGGGCCGATCAGGACTTTGGTTTATAGGCTTATAGGTGGATAGAGATAAATAGGCATAGCTAGGCACGATAAAGATCTACGGAGATGGACAGATAGTTCGAGAGGTAGAGAGATAGGCGGAGGGGAATGCAGGCAGACAAACAGGGAGATACGGCGATAGATGTTTTTGCAGACCCTCAGCTAGGATTCGTGCTCACTGCCGACGCCTACCCAGACCAAACAGACACGTTTTAAACCTTGGTTGTCCCTACAAAGTCGAAACCCTGGTTTTCAACGCTTCTCGAAGGTAGTGTCGGGTTTAGGGTCAATTTAGGGTTGACAAATCCTAAACCCCACCTACCAAACCCGAGAATGCTCTACAGTTCTCTACAGACCAAGCCATACCGTAGCTCCCAAACGCGATACGACAAACGCCTCTAGGGACGCTGCAGGACTTTGCTGTTGGAGCGGGATGAGCTGCGCCGCACTGTGAAGTCGATGCAGCAGGCCCTGGGACTTTAGAAAGGAGTCTAAGGACAACTGTTGTAAAATAGGTGTTGGACAGGGTGCACAGAAGTTTTGTAGGGGTACATCTGGTATTACAGCGTTCTACAAGAATAGCTTGATTCGGTCGAGAACCATAAAGGCCTCCGCTTTGCCGTGTTTTCCTGTGCTGTGCCAGGGTTTCCCTGCTTTGAAGCCAAGAAAGAAACAGGAGCCCATGACAATCGCCCTGTCTACTGTAAGTGCAGAATGATGTGGGACTTGCGGTTTAGCATGTGGGTCAGGGCTTCAGAAGTTTGGAGTTTAGGGTTTCGCAGATTAGCATGTCAGATCTCCGCGCACAACCTGTCTGCGGACTTAGGCTTCGTCATGTAATGATCAGCTGGCAGGGCTTTGCGATGCATGGTGTAGGATTAGTGCACAGCTCCCAGGGTTAACAAGTCTGGGCCGAAGGATTGGATTTGAGGGTGTTGGATTTAAGTTTCAGGACTTAGCAATCAGGGCTTTGACTTTGCAGGGTTAGGCATGCAGACCTCAGGCCTATGCTGCGGGTTGAAGAAGTTGGTGTTGGAGATTTTGGGTTTCCTGGTTTACGATTCAAGGCTCCGGGTTTCTGGCGCAGCACGCAACTGCACTCCGAATTCTGTAGCTGAGGGTTCAAAATATCCTGTATATATAGACCTGAAACAGAAGCATTAGCAATGCTTGTGCTCGACGCCCTAACCTGCAAGATTCTACGGCCCACTGTTGCGAGGGGACCATTGAGGGCCCACCAAGTCGGTCGCAAGTTCATCACGAGGGCCGGATCTTGGGGCGACACAGACGCGGCATTGTTTCAAGCAGAAGTTGGCTCGAGCACGACATCCGAAAACCCCCCACCCGAAAGCCCTAAACCCAAACCCGAAACTAAGACGAGGAAGGGCCCAAAAGCCTGGAGTTCAGTGTCATTTCCACAGACTTTTACGGTCTTACTTGCCTGATTCTGGTGCGGCGTGTGGCTGCGTGATGATAACCATATAGAAACGAAACCCAGATGAAAAAAGCCGAGCACCCTGCAAAACCCTTTGGGCAGAAGCCCTGCCTGCTACAGCAGAATTGTGCTAGACGTGCCTCCTGGCTCCGGAACCTTCTTTTCTCAACCTCAGCCACAGGTGGTGATAATTTAGGGCTCAGGGTTGCCTCCACGGGGACAAGCCAGATAAGAGCTTCAGGCACTCATGTTGGGCCAGGTGATTGTCGACAGACCGCACTTGCAAGAGGCTTTTAATGGCAGAGCCTTCTTTGGACAA